AGTATTATTACTAATACATTGTTACTAGAGGGACACTCTTAGTGATTTTAATGTGTACCTGCACGAAAACCAAGGTGACAAACGAAAACGGACAATATTTTGACAAAAAAAAGTCGCCAGAAACCAAATTCAATGAAAACCAGGGTAAATGAAAACCAAGGTTCCGCTGTACTAAAAAATTATAGATTTTGCCACCAAAGTGGCTAATTTATTGTGCACCCCATATCCATTCTGTGGACGGTAGTGCAAGAGCATGGGATACACAAAAGGCCTAGGAACTAGGCCCCGAAAGGTTTAACAGGAGTACATCTGGATTTATATCTACAGTTCACTTGTCTGTTAAAAGATATCTGGTATCCTGTTTTCATTAATAAAATATCTTGACACGTCACGTAAGTTATTCTACTGTCTATCTCTGCATTCCTCAATAAGTGGACAGTTAAGCACACAGCGTCCAAGATAGTGACCATAGAACTGGCCACATACTTTGCATTTGGTTTGAAAGGAGTCTGAAAGTATCGCAGATGTTGAAGTATGCCTGGATGCAGTACATATAATTGCCATGAGAATTGCATAATTTCAGCTGTGAAAATGCCAGTCGAGTCTAATGACCTCGCACAACACTGTCCGGGAACACTACCACAAACCCAACACTGTTTGAGGATTTAGAACCATCACTGCAAACTGCAGCGGCATGAGGAGACCAGAAGCAGTTAAGAAAAAGGGATAGAGAAGCATCTGTAGGTATTTGAGCTTTCACGAATAGCAATGGAGAAGAACAAACTTGATCTGTCGGAACTTCCACAGGGAAAGAGTAAAGTTAGACGTTAGATAAATGTTCAATGGGGCAATTGAAGAGAAGCCAAGAGCGAGTGAATACAAAGAGAAAAGGGATGGAGTAAACAAGGGCGGCGATCAAATAATAGACCTGACTCATGAAATCGTAGTGAAACAATTGCAAACAAACCATACCACGGGTGGGGCTTGAACCCGCAGTCAGTCATAAAAACTCCAGACCGATGCGTTATCCACTGGGCCATCCGTTACCATCCTGTATGTAAAAGGATTGTGAAAATCACAAGAGTAGACAAAATATTGGAGGCAGTGGGCATCACCCCAATCATTCAGAGATGGAGCATTTGCCTCTGCACATAGGTTCTCAGCAGGGAAGGGACAAGTATGGGCCAACAGGCCTCCTGCAGTGTTCCTCCTTTCTTATGTTCTAAAAAGCATCTAGAGACAAATTCAGTCGCTGATGATGAATGGGGATCAGATTTAGAAAGAGTTGTGGGAGAGGCCGCAGAATATATCCAGTCACCATAATCTAGTTTCAATAAAATTAGGGCTGAATTAAATTGAAAAAAAGCTGAATGATCCCCCCCCCCCCCCCAGAAAGATGAGCAAAGGAATGTCTAGCGAAAGTGATCTGGTGCATTTTAGTTCAGTGGTACCCCAAGTTTCAAACTTGATCCATTCCAGGAGCTAGTTCTGAAGTCAAAATGTTTGAAACTCGAAGCAGTATTTCCTATAAAAAATAATGTAAATCCAATTAGTTCCTGCTGTCAGGAGGCATGACAAAATAGTACTTCAATATGACACTATCTATGGCATATTTATCTCTCACAATTTATCTAATATGACATAAACAATATAAATAACATAAAAACCTGATATACACTCTAGAATGAATAAAATATGTATGTCATACGTATGTGGTGGCGGGGGAGGACGCAGTCACGGGCATTCTTGCTCCAGCTATGAAAACGTTTTCCCATTCTTTCCTCCTTCAGACGTGTTAGTATAAGAGAAAACTGTAATGCCAACTGCATTAGATCACGTCTTTTGTAAGAAAACCATAATGTAGAAATGAAATGGTGTACGTACACCATTTACATACCTTGCAGAAGATAAGTTTTAAACTCCACAACTTGCGCCTGTGGTAGCATGCAGGAACACGTTAAAATCATTAAGAGTTATTAGTCATGATGCCATTTTTTAATAATAATAATAATAATAATCACTTTGAGGTGCATTAAGTGTATAAAATGTTAATATGAACATTTTGCTTAATCCATCTATGATATTTTTTCAAAATTATATAATAAACACGCTACATAGCATAAACGTATAACTTAACATAAATATGAGATTTTTTCCAGTCAGCTTGACGAAGTGAACAAAAGCCATTTGTGTCCAGGCTGGTATCAACAACTGGTTTGTTAACAAAACTTGCAAACATGGGGGTTACATACCTACCACACTTTGATACCTACCTACCTTACTATTCACCTTGCACCCTATATTAAGACCATTAAGGTTACTAATATTTTAAGGTAAGAAATGAGTGTACTGTATATATATTCTATTGCTCTGGGGCACTTTAAATGCCTACTATATAATGTGTGGGGTGGGGTGGCCAGATGGGGGCTACATACTTTCCACACTTTGATACTTACCTTACTATTCACCTTGCACCCTATATTAAGACCATTAAGGAGTGCCTCCGGCAAATTTCCGCGCGCGCTCACCGAAATATCGGAAAAATATGGATAGTGAGTTATATATACTGAAAAATAGCTCAACTCTTTGGCAACACAATGGTACCAGAATGAATGTTCTACGACGTTTCTACAAGAAATTACAGTCATTTATATGAGGTAAGGTGACGGTGATATTGGTAGCGAGTCTGCTCACAGCCCATATATATTTTGGAAATTTTTCCTTGTTTTTTATCGCTTTTTCTTGCATTATACTTTCTAATATAATAACTGAGTACTTGGCATCATAAAACTGAAGGCGGAGCTTATCCCTAGATTGAGCAACAGTCATTAATCATATCATAATGCGCGGAAGGGTTGCCGCGCCAGGAGAAATCACTTCATTATTACGCTTATATCAGCTTATATATCAACTCTACAGCTTATTTATCTATCAGAATTGTTCTAATATGATATAATAAACACTCTAAATAACATACAAACATGTTATATACTCTAGACTGAAAAAAATAGACCATAATATGGCGAAAGATTATCGGGAATATTTCGATAAATATTGAGTTACTGCTCTCCATGTCGTCTCCGTGTCGTATTCTTTGGTCTCTGAGTAAGAGAAAACGGTGTTTTGAAGAGGATAAACTGCACTAGAACATCAGTTTACTAAGAAATACACCCAAACAAACGCGATTTTCGCGAAAAAAAACTTTTTTTTTTGAGACGGTGGGCCGGCCGGCGTTCTAGGCCTATATCTCGGAAGTAACTTATTCCTCTACAGTTGCTATTTCTGCATTTATTACTTAATTAAATGGAATAATATTCACAGAAATTGTAGAATAATGGTTTCTCTAATTTTGTTAAAGGTAATTTTGGAAATATTCAAATACTTTCGGAGTTATGTGGGAGTAAAGGGCAGATTTTTTGCAGTATTCCAGGAACTAAAAAAAATTTTTTTTTTTTTATATAAAGATACGTTATTTAGAGAAAAGGCGTTGCCTAAAATTAGTTTAAGCATTGCTCTCTCGGCACCAAGTGTCCAAACAACCTTACGATGTCCCATATAGGAATGATTTTTGAGACAAGGACATTTTTCAGAAAATCAGTCTTTTTCAGTCTTTTCTCAGTTGTCGTTTGAGGTATATTTTTGATAAATATTTTCAAGAATGAGTGAAAACACTTTGTCTTGTGCACCAAAACTGGAGGAAATCGGACGGTAAACAAAAAAGCTACATTTTTTTGCCGGAGGCACTCCTTAAGGTTACAATGAATGTACCATATATGCATTTTATCACTCTAGTACACTTTTAAATGCCTAGATATAATGTAATGCTCACTCAAGAAACTAAGCCAGACTGATAGGTCTGATACGCAGTTTGAAACACGGGGCACGTTTGATACTCCAGACAAAAATTGGTGTGAAAAAAGCGGTTGAAACTCGAAGCGTTCGATAGTCAATGCTTTTGAAACTTAGGGTTCCACTGTACCAGAAAATTTAAGCCCATTAGTAGTGGCACAGTGGAAAACAAGGTCGATAGCATTTTGGAGAGAGGCTGCTACGAGGTGGCAGTTAGTGCCTGCACGGGCTATAGCAAATTCATCAGCATAAAGTGATGACCAAATATTAGATGGAAGATCAGAGGCCAGATCATTAATAGCTAGTAGAAAAAGAGTGGTGCTAAAGACATTCCTGGGAAACACCTTCACCCTGTATATAGTTGGGGGAAAGCAGATTATCAGCCTGACAAATTTTTATAAGATTGGAAATATCCTCACCATTTATGGTAAGTGGCATGCCTTCCAGAGAGGTCCCTAAACCTAGGCACATAATGCTCAAAACCTGTCACAGCATGAAGGTAACCTAGTATTGGTGGACAGTAAAGTGGGGGAAAAAATCGAGATGTTACTTTAAAGATTAAATGGATGCAATAATTGGCAGAGATGCATCATTAGTATTAACATGTAATTATTCTGTATGTGGAGGGATCACAAAGGTCATGAAATATCTCTTCAGTTGTACAAAGATGAAAAAATCTAATAGCCAGAGTTATTGATGAATGGGATGAAGTTTATCAAGAGTAGGTAGCTTTTTTCTTGGGGGAGGGGGGTGATAGTGCTTAACTTCATAATAAGAATAGAAACAGGCTGTAAAATGTATTTGATCTCTCTAATTTAGCTTACACTACTATTGGAAAACTAAACTTGTAGAGGTCCAAAAACACCTGGATAACAGGAGGAAATCCAGTTTAATGTAAAAGAATAGGTATAATCCCTTGGTACCCCTCACCAACATTAAGGTACTTCAAAAAAAAAAAATGAGTTAATGTATAATAGTTACAGCCGACTAAGACTTAACTTTTAGGGAAGGTGAGATTTGCATGACATTTGTCAATCAAAGCTAAGGCTAAGAAAATTGACTGTTTTGGGATGGGGTGATAGGGTTATAGCAAGTTGTTTAACTTAATGTCATAAACTGCTGGGCACTTGTATATACTATTGAATTTACAGGTCAAGTGTGTACTGGAAGTCCTTCTGTTTGGTCCTGACAGCTCTGGATGTGATGCTAAAGAAGGTGAAGAAGTTGAAGCAGCATTACAACGATGGCTAGACTTGGAGAGAGCAACTGTCCTTCACACATTAATCCGGGGACCCTTAGTCTCCTCAGTGCTCACAAAGTTCCATCTTCTCTTTCTTGTTAGAACTAATTCTAGAATTCTTAGGGAAACTTTGAAACTTTTGAGAGACCCAGAGGTTACTACATTTTAATTTTTTCATACCTTGGTTTTGTAATTCATTTAATGTGATGCTCCTGATACTTGGGAATGTTAAGTCAAGTTTTGATGTTTCTGGTATTGGAGGATGGCTACCTCAAATATAGCTTTTTCTATTATATTCACTAGGGAATATAAAGAGATAAATTAGTCTGGCAGGTAACATTACAATATCTGGGGGTAAAGAACTAAATCCACAGGGGTCACATAGCCCCTTGGAATATGGGAGACAATCAGGTTTGATCTAAGGCAGAGAGGGAGGACAGGTTTATTGCACAAGGATCCCCTCACCAGCATATACTTTTACTAGTGAAAAAGTTTTGCTCATGGATAAGTAAGTTGATATATTAAGTCCTTGGTACAGTATATTACATTACTGCACTAAGCTGCTGCTACACAAGTAAATGCAAGAATTTTAGTCTTGCAGTCCAGGTTAGCACATTCTTTTCCTTCATGTTATGGTGCAACTATTTTATTTAGAAATATATACTGTAAACAAATTCTGGCATATTAATAGAACTAACATGGTATGTAAATACTAGAGAACACTTCAAGGGAATGCATTATATCATCCAGTGGCTTCCCAGTATTATACATTAGTAGAAATATAATACCTTGCAGAAATATAGCTGCTAGGTAACAGCCATTATTAGTTTATGCAAGTAGTGTCTATATTGCTCAAGTTTAAAAAAATGCAAAACAAGGTGATACATGGCACATTTTTAATCTTAAATTTGGCAAATTACCCCCACCCCAAATCCTTGTATGTACTTGCAATTTACTATATTTTCAGGAAAAACCATTGAATAAACAATCATTTTCCTCCCTTTAAGAATTGGTAGCCTTTCTGGCAAATCACTTCCTCAAAGGAAGATCTCTTAATCCAGTGAGGGCTTATGATCCCTTGGATGTTTAATAATAATGATCCCTTTGAATCAAACTATTGCCTCCCATTCTCACCAGTGCTGTAAGACACCTAGGGATTTAAAGCTTTTTTTTTTTTAATTACGGAATTGCTAAACCTGTTGGTCATACGGTGCCTGGGAAATTGTTGGCATTCAGATTTGATCCATGGAAGGAGAGGCAAAGTCCAGTTTCTTGGATCAAGTGACCCTCATTGTCATGGACATCTTGGAGGAGGGATGAAGTACACTCCCAAGGAAATACTAAACCAACAGGGAGCAGTGCCAGGAGAGTGGGAGGTAATTAAGCTTGATTGAAGGGGACGAATAGCTCCTTGAATAATGTGTTCACCAGAATTGAAGGTACCACCAACTGAAGGGAAATTAATATTGTAAAGTGCTATTGGGATGTCATACTACATAAAATAGGAGGGGTAGCTCAAGTTCCTTGGATCATAACTGGGGTTCCAATTCCACGCATCATGGCTCTCCAAGGACGTCCATAACTCCATTTCATTCTGGAGCTACAGCAAATGTTTTCTAACTAGTCCCTTAAACTTAGTTGAGGAATAGTCTGGAATATCTTTCACAGGAGAGCAACATTATAAAAGTTTATGTACTTGAATATTTTAGTCTTGCCAATGATAATGCTTGACAGTAAAAAATTAACAAGCAATGGTCTAGTTGACCATTTAAGCACTTAAGAGTACTATATTTATCTTAAGCCCTTCTAAATTTACTAGTGAAACTTTTGAACTAAAAAAAAAATTCTGCTTTATCACTCAAGATCCAGTTATAAAACAAACTTCCCACTTAAAAGCATCTTTCTTGCCATCATTAGATTAGGACATTTTGAGAACTGCTTAATTTAGTTCTTAAGAGGTTGCTTAGTTTGACAGGCTCAATTGTATTGTTCCTGAAGGAATCTTAATTTGTTAAGCTTTATGTACATATTGTAGATGAAATTTATTTTTTATGTACAGTACATTGTAAATATATCTATAATCTGTCACGATTCACAAACTATACAAGTCACCTGTATTTTCATTATGGTGCATTTTTATTTACTTTTATAAAACTGAAAACACTAACTTATGAAAGATCTAACCATATTGTTACTGGAATAAACTGGTTTCTGGATTTTTTTTTTAATACTCCTACAAATGTCAAATCACACCTTACATTGATTTCTATTGACACGTGCAACAGTTAGGTAATCTTTATTCTGTATTATATACCATTTTCATTCACTGTCAGACACGGCAACAGAATGGTATCTTGGTACAGAAAGTACTTTTGACAACTTTTTCAAGTGAGAAGGGATGGATTTGAGAGGGACAGGCTCTCAATGATGACCCTTCAACTAGTGAACTGAGTCTCACCTACCGACAGTATACAGGTCTCCATACTGCTGCTTAAACTTCACACAGTTCCAATTATCAAAAAGCAGCGCTAAGCCACAAGGGCTATACAGCGCACAGTTCCAACCTATGGAGCAAAACACTTCCAGGCTGAGGGACTGACCACTTCAAAACTAAGTCTTCAAGGGTGATGGACTGATTACATCGTCTTCACATCTCTACTGCTTCTGCTAAACTAATGTATTCAACTGAAGAAGCCTGTGTAGGCGAAAAGTTTCGGAATAAAGATACCTATCGGTTGCATGCGTCTTGCTTAACTTGCCAGTATTATATACCATTTTCATATTCGCCGATTTCTATTAAATGACGTTCTTACCCTAATATCTACTTTTAAAGTTCATTTATGCATAAGCAGTGCTATTTAAAGCTAACTTATAGGTACAGTAATTATTGGATTCAGAACTGAATAAGCACTTTAGTACCTTTAGTGAAAATGTCATGAAAATCAAACCCATGTAAAAGTACATAATAGCTGTGGGAAAAATGAACATTAAATTTATAAATTTGCAATGACCCTCATGCAGATGATAAAGTTCTATAACATACAAGGTTTATTGTATTCATAGTAAATCTCGTGGCTACAAGGTGCTGACATTAAGGCAGCAGTAGCCTGGAGTATGAATACAAGGATTGAGTAATAGTGCACTAAATCAGGTTAGTGAATTTACATTTAATGCCAGTCATTAAAAGTAGAGCAAGCATCTTGTACTGAAATCCCTTAAATTTAATATCTTTCATAAATGGGACAATTAAGAATGTAAAAAACTAAGTCAACCTTCCTACATGGCATTTAGGTCTAGCACCAATCTATGTAAACATTTAGATCTTTTGTTATAGTATACTTAATTACACCCACCCAGAAAGTGGTCCTAGTGAAACTGCAGTATTATCCTAAATATGACAATGTTCCCAAAAGTAACTTTTAAGCTACTTTACCTAGTTTTGCTAAGGCTGAAGTTACAAGTATGTAGTTTCCAATATGCTTACAACACTTTCAAGTGTTACCTGCAGTGTCACACCCAAGTTTTATTATGTCTTCTCATTCAACCTATTCTCTACTTTGCATTTGTTAGGAATGACACAAAAGAACAAGATGCAAATAACTGAAGCTCACAGTGATTTCCCCTATATCTTCTAATATTCCAGTGTAGACAAACTTTAAAGGAATGAGGTGCAGAGACAAAATAATAAAGACTCCTGTTCAATAAACTGGAGACGGCCATTAAGACAAATACTGTAAATGCAAAAATCTTCACTGAGAACAGCTAAACTCTCAAGAAATCATACAGCACCTGGAAAAGGAGAGGCAATCTATCTGGATCAAGGGCAACTTCTCCAGGGTAAAGGCACCCTCCTAGTAAGGCAGAAGCAATGAGCTAAATATATCTCGAGTAACACTGCAAAAGTTTTACCACTTCAGGAAAGAATTAGGGGCTTGGTTAATGTTATCTGGAAAATATTCAAATGTGCACATTAGGAAAGATCAGCAGTTGGGACTGCTATAGGAACCTTTATAAGCAAACATACAAGGAATGGACGTTATTTACAAATGCTAGATAATTTTGTCTTCAGCACTTTCAACAGTTCCTACCATCAATTGAGACAACTAGCTACTTTTATGAATTCATTATGGGATGGTGGGGGGAGGGGGTAAGGGGGGTTGTAGGGTTCCAGGTCATTGGCCATCTCAGTCAGACAAGCATCTTAAGGTACATATGGCCAACTCAAGGGGGGGGGGGTGTGAGGGACCTAACCTGGTCACAAACTGTTTGAAAACCCTCATTAATTAGTGTTGTCAGACAAGACACCCAAAGGTTTTTCCATTGGTTTAGTATCACATTGCATGTAATGCCACTGAACTGCTATTTAGGCAAAAGGAGAAAGGATCATCCAGTTTCTTAATGCTTTTTTTTAATAGACTTTTGACAAAATATGGTGTATATGAAAACTTGTGTGACTATTGCAAAGGTTACCAATTAAGAGTAATGGTTAGAATGCAAGCACACTAGGCACAGTTTCATTAGTGATGAAGCTAAGAACTAAATTACATTATAAACAGGAAAAATATTTTAGAAGGTATTTAAAACAGCATGCCAAATCAAATTGCTTACAGGATGATCAGTTCAATGAGAAGTTAAGTACTGTACATTAAACCAAGGGCAGCATGATGATCCTACTGCTTAGTCAAAGCTATATTTGTAACAAACCAAATTCTACTGGTGGAGCAGGGGCAGTGGCCATTCCACCTGAGCACGTGGCACAATGTTTTGTCCTTGCCTTTATTTCAGTTGCTGTAGTCTTCCTGACTGTGCGCACACTTTGCAGCAAAAATGTCTGGAGAGCGCTATCAGTGTGAAAAGAGGGGGCTGTCACCAGGTTGATGTCTTGCGGAATGTACCAATAATACCCTAGCAAGAAAATCACACATTTCTATACTAATTTAAATGGACATATGCACAGCTAAAAATTGCTAACTTCCTTAAGCCTATCAGCTATTTCTGACTGCCATAAAAGAAAGTATTCAGGAACCAAGTTCAAGATGTATTATTGTTTCCATTATAACAATGCAAGGAAAATGAAAATGACAAACAGCTAACGAGTTACATTCTCTGGAATATTTAAATTCCAACTGTCAAATATTGTAAGCAATTTAACAATTTAAGCGCTAAACCTCTAAGGGTCATACAGCGCTGCAACAGATGTCAAACATGCTTGAAATCTGTTTTACCATTAAGTGAATATAGTCTTTACTTAATTTTTAATGACAACTATTAACTGTTCTAAAATGAGGAATTTTGATAAATTCTTGGTTGGGGGGGAACTAGTTACTACCCCAAAACTATATTAATTAAAGCTAACTAGTGGCACTTTTTTGTGCTCACCGTTAGAACCTGGCTATGCCACTAGGTTCCACCTGTGATATTAACCTACTTTTTTTTTTTTAGGGTGGGGGGAAATACCCTTTGATTTATATTGCTCATAATATATACCATAGCAAAACTAGCACAATATTTATATCTGCAGTCTGTATTTGTTACTGATCGAAATGGTTGTCTTGAAATTCCTAACCCATATTATAAAATTATATTAAAAACAAGAACTAAACTCATCCTAAACCAGACTTACCATTCCAAAATACCCCTCATGAAATTTAGTACATCAAACCACTGTTATATACTGGTTGCAATTGATCACATGGCAACAAGTTGGTTTGAAGCAACTATTAAACTTAATTTATTGCCAACAATAAAACAAGGATAAGTAACAACCATTATAGAGAATATGAGGTTTAATCAAACACTTTTGACATGCAAGTGCATTGACACATGTGCTTTGCCTATCACAATTTGGTATTTACATAGAGGGGCACATTCTAGCAAGAATCACAACTCTTGGTGTATAGCATGTATAACGAGTAGTATTGTAGTAAAAAATACAACACATGGTCATACCAATTGTGGACTGTATTGACAGCTACTGTTGTGGCTCGTGTTTTGCAAGTCTACTACACTGTCCATTTTCTGCCGGCATTCGTGCCAAACCTGGAAATTAAACCCAAACACACAACTTGCAAAGGTCAAGCTTTCCTAGGTTGCTACACAAATAACTGGCTACAAACTTAGCCAACCCTATCTAAAAGCCTCTACAGAATGAATATGCCAGCACAGACCCTTTTTTGTTACTCTGTACACAATGCTCTTATCTTTATTTGTAACCTGTATGTGAATTTGAGAAGCTGCACTTGTCAGTTGTCAATTTGTATTTTTTATTGCCACGAGTGCCTAGAGGCAGTTTCTGCTAGCACCAAGAACTGTAAGAAAGTGCTCATCACCAACAGTGGTAGCCATCTGCTGGCAGCGGTAGCACGAATAGGCCCGAGTGATCACTTGGTTGCTCATTTAGGTATTCCACTACAAAAATGCTCTCTGGAATGTCTTGGGTCAAAACAAGTTATTTGGTCAGTAACTGAGAGCTCTTCTAAATAAAGCACATCAATAAGGATTGTTCCCTCAATATGTTGAAAAATAAAGAGCCTTATTGAAGCACCAACAGCAGCTCAATGACTGACCTCTCAAGATTCCACCAACCTTATAAAAGTGGTAACCTTATGGAGACCACACACAATATCCAACTTTAATGATCAAGAAGTAACAATTCCTCCATTCACTGACAAATGTAGATATTAAAATGGATAGTTGTGATCATTCAAATGACAAAGCACAAGATGTGACGCAACGAGCGACTCCGAGCTTAGAAAGTTTTGCACCCGGGTCAATTTTCCCCAGTTGCGACACAAATACTAGACACAGAAGAAGCCAGGAAGGGCTAAGCATAGCCTACTGTACCAGCAACTAGGAGTGACCCACACAAAACGAAGGGCCAGAGATGGTGAGGGAAAGGTGTGGATGAGGGGAGGGGAAATTTTCGAGCTAGTTAAATGGCTCTGTGGGCCAGGTAGAAGATATGTTCAACACCTTCTCTCTTTTCATCCAATGAATTACCAGGAGAAACAAGCTCTCCTCAACACAAGGAAAAAGAGTGAGCAGGAAGAGGGAGAAGGGGAACTTGTCAACACTTGTTGAAACTATCTACCACCAACCCACACCTTCCAAACTCTTGAGCAAACCTTAACGAGAGAATGCTCATGCTACAACTTTTTCCAAGACTATTAAATTTTATTATAAAATACATCCTATGAGACTAGTGAACTGGAAAAATCTTGTCAATTCAGTGCATTTATTACGTTGTAGGTACACCAGGTCATCTAGTTTACTCAAGATACATTAAACCTGGAAACAAAGTGACCTGTGCATATCCCCCCAAAAATATTAGTGCCTCAAATAAGTGGCTCTTATCAAAATGCCTTCGCTGCAACAAGGGGAAAGTTTGAGTTCTTTGCAACAAGAGGCAGCACCAAGCGATCAACTAAATATGGATGTTAAAAGATGTAACTAAAAGAATAGGCTGGCTGGATTTTAATAGACAAGACTGATCAGTGGTGATATTCCTTAAACCATAAAAACTTTCACGCATGGTCATACTAATGAGCTTATTTACTCTGATGGTGCAGTCTCTGCACCAGCAGCAATGGAACATTACTATAACACTAAACTCACCTATTCAAGTTTCATGGGCTCCTGTTTAGTTGTGACTGTCACAAGAGCCCATGAAGTTACTCCTGTTAGTGTAATAGAGCCTTTTGCAGTTATCTACAAAAGGCTTATTACTCATCTGGCCAGTAAATTTTTGTGACCACAATCACACACAGCTGGGGAAAAGCAGTGTACTGAAGCACAAACTACTCAGTAAACACTAAATGATGTGACTCGGATATTTTCAGGAAAAAAAAAAAAAAAAATGAGGTTTAGGGTATGGCTGCTGATCTAGGGATGCTGTACATATAGCTGAAAGCTCAAAGTGAAGTATACCTACTAGTCAAAAGTCAATAACCCATGCTCACCTTTTCCTAACTGCTTGAAAATGTATAATTTCATTGTGGCAGTTTCAAGCATGTTAGTTTCTGCAAACACCCTACCAAATAGGCCACAAACTTCATCCTAACAAACATGTTCTGCAATGATATATAAACGGTTAGAACAACAAGACAACTTGGACTGACAGACAAACGATTAAAAGATGATTCCATCAACTTAACTGTGCTAATTCCCCAAGCAATAAAAATAAGTGCCAAAATGCGCTTTAGCTCATTCACACTGTATGGAGAGATTGCATGGTACAAAAATGTCAGATAATGTAAATGACCCAATGCTCGAGAGGAAATGCTGGCCTCCGGATAATATTGAGGATATGGAGCCCCAACTGGGTAGGGTTTTTGGGGATTGGAGTGTTGAAAGGCTGGTTAAGCTGGATCTTGGTTACCCAACTTGCTCACCTCGGGCCATAAGTAAACATTGAGCTGGGGAACATAAATGTCCACTTCAGACACCGAACACCAAAGATGGATTAACAGAAATGGTCTTAATTTAAGACCTTATGAAAATATACAAGGAAATCATAGCATAAAATGAGAAGTATCCTACCTAATATTTAAATTTCTTATCACGTACCAATATCAATAAATACACAACAAATATGCAATGGATCTTTTCAAACACAAAGAATGTGATGAAAATGCCAAACATAGGACGAAGGATTGGAATGATGGTGCCAAGTCCTTTCCCATCATCACAGCAGAGCTCCATCATTATTAAATTCACTTTGCACAGAACGCAACCAAAGTGTCCACACCAGACTTCAAGATTTTTGCCCTTGACACAGCAAATACATCTAAATATACAACTGGTTACCATGTTAAGTTAAAGCATGCAAAATTTAATGTATACCTCAAGTAATGAGTAGCAACTGTAGGCATAAATTACTGAAACTAATGAATGCACACAGAAAACCCATCCCTATTAACTGCATTCTACAAGCGCTTCCTGAAATAGCACTCCATCTTTCCTGTTGCAAAATGGTATAGGTGATGTTGACATCTTTGGCAGTGTTGGAGACATGATGGTGTTGATACTGGAGCTCCGCTGTGGGAAGGGGTGGTGGTGGTAGTAGTATGGTGGTGGTGGTGGTGGTGGTAATAGTACAAGAGGAGTAAGAGGGTGGTGGTGGTGGTAGAGGGGTGAAGGGGGCCACCGCCGCCACTACCACATTAGCTTACATCCTGGTCCTCCACATCCTGCACTTGTTCTTTCTCTCTTTGATCACCATCTCCACCTAAAAAATAAAAAAAAAAAAAAAAAAATCCATTTAAACAGCAATTCACTTTTAGTGAAGGCACAACATATTTGGCAAAACCTCCTGGGTTTTAATTACCAAACTGAAATTTAAGGCCATTCAAAAGCAAGCTTTAATTTTGCAAACTATTTACCGTTGATACAAGTCATTTACTACTTACCACCGTAAATTTGACATTACTTAAACAATAGAGACTAAAGGGAATTTGTTCTTACTCTCTCCTTGCATGTCTGAGGTCCATAACGTAAGGTTGTCTCGCAACAGCTGCATAATAAGAGTGGAATCTTTGTAACTCTCCTCTGATAATGTGTCCAACTCTGCAATTGCATCATCAAATGCAGCCTTCGCCAGACGACATGCCCGTTCTGGACTATTCAAGATCTCGTAATAAAAAACTGAGAAATTCAGTGCCAGACCCAACCTGTAAATTAAAAAATTAAAAAGGTATCACCTCAAGAAAATATTGCACCATTTTTTTCAACAAACCGGCCATTTCTCTCCTAGGCAGGGTGACCCCCGTTAACTTGATCACTTCAATAGCACATTAAATCATAAAAAAAAACCACTTTCCTCCAATCACTAACATGCTTACACATGCTTCCTGGATGTCTAAGCCCCTCACACACCTTTACCCCTTCCTTCCAACCTTTCTTATGACACCTACCCCACCTTCCACCATAGCTTCATATGCCTTCCAAGTCATCCTATTTTGTTCCATTCTTTCTGACCACCTCAATAACCCCCTTTTCAGACCTCTGTATAATACTTTTAATAACCCCACACCACCACCTAATCTCTAAACTAGAATTCCCTGCACATTATTCACACCACACATTGCCCTCAGACGTGATCACCACCACTGCCTCCAGCCTCCATCTTGCTGCAACTTCCACAACCTATGCTTCACACTCATAAGAGCATTTATACAATTATATAAACTCGTACATTCCCCTTTTTGCTTCCAAGGATAATGTTCATCGTCCCTTTTGCAGCTCGCATTGAGCCAGTAAAGCACCTGAACTACTGGGAATGCCTTCAAGTCTTGAACATTACTCATTAGAGTAGAGGAGAGATGCAATATATACCTGGGAAGTACTAGAGGGCCTGGTCCCAAATCTACGAACTGCAGTAACATACTGGAGTGAGAGATATGGGAGGAAGTAAAATAAACCCAGCGAGGAGCAGGGGTGCGGTGGGGACAATAAGGAAACACTATCAACATCCAGGATCCCAGACTATTCAACATCTTACCAGAAGATATCACACATGGAACAAGTGTAGAAGCCTTAAAGAGGAAACTGGACAAGTATCTTCACCTGTTGTTACTGGGGCAGCAGGCCTCCAGCAGCAACAGCCTGGTTGACCAAGCAAGCACCAGACAAGCCTGGCCCATGGCTGGGCTCAGTAGAGAAACTCTTGAAACTCTTCAAAGGTATCCCCCCCACAGATGCCTCAATGAACCATTCGCCTTTTTCCCTAGTCAATTCTATGGTTCACTTCATCTTTCTGCTGACAAGTCCACTCCCAAATATCTGAACACATTCACGTCCTTCATATGCACTCCCTCCAATATGATATCCAATCATCACCTTGCTCTTTCATTTCTTCTTTTAATTTCCTTCCAAAATTTGTCTGCAAACCTTCACATCTCTTCAGAACCTTCCAAAAGCAGTTATCAGCAAAAAACAACTGACAACTCCTGCATTGTGTTAAGATCATCTTCCAGCCCTACACCTCCCCACCAACCCTTCTGCATTCACTTCTTACAATTCCATCCTTAAATATATTAAAAATCACGGTGACATCGTGCATCCCTAAGGGCTACTTTTACTGAAAAAATAATCTCCCTTTTTCCTACATACCATAATTAGAACCTCACTATCCTTGTAGAAACTTAAAATACCTTCAGCAACTTACCATTATTCCATACACTTGGAACATCTGCCACATTGCTCCCTATCAACCCTATCATATGCCTTTTCCAAATGCATAAATGTAACAAAACCTTCGTTACCCATATCCCTCTTCTCTCCAGGTATACTGTTCACTTATATGCTTCAATGTAAACACTGTCTACACATCCCTTACCCTTCCTAAAGCCTCCTTGTTCATCTGCAATCCTACTGTCTTACCCTAAACTCTTTCAATAATAACTACCATACATCTCACCAGGGATACTTAACAGGCTTATTCTCCATTAATTCTTATATTTTGTGCCCTTTGCCTTTATACAAGAGAACTATGCATGCTCTGCCCATCAAACAATTTCATTTAAATCTATTAAGAATAAATAAGCAGGTCAATTTCTTTTTTTTTTTTAATCTTAACAATCCAAAGGAAATGCAATCGTCATATATTCAATTACTGCCTTCCCAGAATTGTGCCAACATCACAATTCATTACCCTCTTAAGTAACATCCCTGCCCCTTCAGAGGGCAAACACTGCATGTCCAGCCTCAAGGCCTAGTCCAACTAGGTTTTCCTGAATCCCTTCATAAATGCTACCTTGCTCACACTCCAACAGAACATCCATTAAAAACCACGTGTTCTCCATTCACTCCTATGTAACATGCTCATACAAGCCTGTTGGATACTCAAGCCCCTAAAACTCAGTCACCTTTACCCCCTCCCTCTAATCAGTCCTGGGACCATCCCTACTCCCAGTTACCTTCCACCCATAATATAATCTGCTTGTCATCCTCTATCCTCTGAAAAATGCCTGAACCACCTCGGCAACTCCTTGACCCTCTGAAAAATGCCTTTCATGACCTCCACACTTGTCTTGATTTCTACACTCTGAACCCTCTGCATAATATTCACCAGACACTGCTCTCAATTTTGGCATCTCCACAGCGTGTAGCTGCCACCTCACTGATATGTTCAAAGTACATGCTTTGAACATTTCAATGAGGTGGTGGTATACGGGTGGCAGTGGCAGAGGTGGTATAGTAGCAGTGGTACAACTGCAGTGAGATGGGTTGGGTTTGAGAAGGACCTGTCAGCATCACATTACAGCATTCTCCAAAACAGGCAATATCCTACTGATCAACAATTGGACAGGTCATTTCCTTTATTAACTTGGCCTCACTAAAGTTCACAAGGCATCCACTGGTGTTGGACACATGCATTTTTAGGGAAGTCATGATTCCAGGTGTTCTTGTTCTCAACCATAAAATAAAAATGTGTCCCCCCCCCCCCCCCAAAATTTAAAATATATTAAATAAATATAAAATATTTATTAAATAATATATATTACAATATATATTTTACAATATATATTTTACAATATATATATTTTTTAAAATATTTTATTATTATATAATATATATATATATATATATATATTATAATATTATATATATATATAATATATATATATATATATATATATATATATATATATTATATATATATATATATATATATATATATATATAATATATATATACAGTGGACCCCCGCAATAGCGACTTTAATCCGTGCAAGAGGGCTGATTGTTATGCGAAGTGTTCGGTATGCGAATGAATTTTCCCATAAGAAATAATGGAAATCAAATTAATCCGTGCAAGACACCCAAAAGAAAGAAAAAAAAAATTTTACCACATGAAATATACATTTTCCTACACACAAAGAGAAGGATACATGCACAATAGTAGAGTAGTACATGCACAATATATTTTGTGCATGTACTACTCTACTAAATGAAGAATAAATGACACTTACCTTTATTGAAGATGCAGCAATGACTGATGAAACACTGTCCTGGGAGTGCCTTTTCCTCCGGGTACTGTGGGTCCTTTGGCATTTTCTTCCAGACAGGCCTTATCACACGTGTATGCCACAAACGATTCTTAAATCTCTCAAACCAACCTTTGCTGGCTTTAAATTCACAATATGAGCATAGTTCCAGGCATTTTTCCCTGTTCACCTGGGTGTTAGTCGAACTGGTGTGGGTTGTATCCGGGGGAGACAAGATTAAGGACCCCAATGGAAATAAGTTACAGTCTTCGATGACACGACTTTTTGGGGTTAATCCGGGGGTGGCAAATCCTCTGGGGTTAATTGTTTCTTGGTATTTCTCAATAAGCCACACCAACAACGGTGCTACAGCAGCAGCAGCAGCAGCTGACGGGGGGTTTACAGCACAACAGACGAAGCTACAGCAGCAGCAGACGATGCTACAGCAGCAGCAGCAGCTGAGGGTGGTACAACAGCACAGCAGCTGACAGTGCAGCAGCAGCTGACGGTGGTACAGCACAGCTGTACCACCAATAGTAGCGATGGTTGATTGGGGTTTATTATACAACCTGGCCAGCTCGGAGACACGCACTCATTTCATACTTATCAATGATCTTTTTCTTCATCTCTAAGTAATTCTCACCCTTATTGCTGTAGGGTTGGCACTAGAAGCTTTCTTGGGGCCCATGGTCACTTTTTTTTCCAGAAAAAATCACCAAAAACACTGTAATAATACAAAGGTTCCGATTGTATGTTTGGATGTTACCGCGGAGGCTGGCGGGTAAAAAATTTGCCACCGGCGGAACATGTGAGCGGGCTCAGGCCGCACTTTGGGACGTCTCGGACGAAGGGCGGTGAGCGGGTTTTTGGGCGTATGCGAGGCAAAATTTTGCGAAAAATCGAGGGGTATTGGGGGGTCCACTGTATGTATGTATGAAATGTATGTATGTGTGTATATATAAATTAATATATATATATAATATATAAAATAATATATATATATATATATAAATATTATATAATATATAGACTGAATGACAGCACTATATTAAATAACAATAGTACATGATTATTTTTATTATACAATCCATATAAAAAATATTTATATTTAATGATCTTTTTTTATTATATATATATTTATTTTGCTTATTACTAGAAGTTTCTTTGGGGATATACTTATTTTTAGAAAAATCACAAAAACATAATATATAAATAGGTTATTTATCTATATATTACGGATGCTGTAAAAATAAGAAATGTGACTGTACCCAATTGATACTCGATAAGCTAGTTTTAGGGGTATAGAAATTTTTAAATAACATATGTATCGTGTATGTATGTATGTTGTGATAATATATATATATATATATATATATATATATTATATATATATATATATATATATATATATTTATATATATTTTATTAATCGGGGGTAGATATTTTTCCAGAACATCAAGGTTATCGAAAGGTTTCTAAATGCAGGGAGTGAACAACAACACCCGACACTTGGAGTTCCAGAACAACACCAGTCTATAGGATTCCTGGAACAAATCACTTATTCTTTCCAAAAGTAATTATCACATCATAGCTAAGGGAACAAGCAAAAAACTGTACTACTAAAGGTAAGACTCAACAGGAGCAGATAGAGCCACCAAGGAGGGTATTGATATGTGGATTGTGATTGAGGATGTGTAC